TAAATAAAGAGACGAGCAGAAGAATCAGACTGTTCCTGAATGTCGCATCAATAGGCACCGCGTTGTCCCATACATGCGACAAGTCAGTCAACATCTCCGCACAATATTTCAGCGCAGTGAGTGACAACTTTTTTCATCACAATGCTTATGTGTCTCTGTACAGCTAGCTTTGATAACATCATGTCAACGGAGCTTACCTTCTTTGAGCTACTTTTCTAAGTGACAAAAAAAGTTAGACATTGTCCCCACCGTCTGTGAAAGCGAAGCGCTGCTGAGTTAGCTGTGGCCATCGGATTTCTTATGATTTATGCAGCGCTATTCTATTACTGACTATTAGACAGACATCTTCTGCCGCTGAGAGAAAACCACTGTGCATGTCTTGGAGCGCCGCGTGCGAGTGAAAGGTGGGGGTGAGAGGGGAGAAACAGAAACACGTAATTGGCAAGTCACATTATTGGTTGGATTTTAATCGGTGCGTTATGTATTCATTTCTGAATTGAAAGGAATACATAACATAGATAATGAATTCAATTCATTTCTGAAATTCATTTCAGTTATTTGTTAACTGAAAACAAANATGTTAACAAATAAACTGGACAGTATGCTGTATGTTTAGTGATATTTTCACAGTTTCGGTCTCGACTGATCTTGAAATAAAATGCCGAGTCCTCAGCGCCCGAGTCCAAGACAAGACCGAGACCAAATGCAGTCGAGTCCGAGACGAGACCAAGACCATCAAAAAATGGTCTCGAGACCAAGACCGATCTCCCTGGAGGAGCTGGAAGAAGTGGCTGGGGAGAGGGAAGTCTGGACTGCCCCCGCGACCCGACGATGGATGGATGGATGGATAGATTTTTCTAATGCACTACTTGAAACGCAGTGACAGCCAGGATTTGTTAGGCTCACATTGTGAACAAACGGTTCAGAAAGCGTGAAGTTCGGACATTAACCCAACTAACAATGTCTGGAATAAACTGACAACAGCCGTCAGAAAGTGTGACTGTTTTATTTTGTATGTCAGCAGTTAGATGCTGTCATAACATTATGGGTTCAAAAAATGTCTGGTTAATCTGTCCACCTCCACGATGCTGAAAGCCAAACTCCACACTTCATTTCATTATTTTAATTAAAATTTCCACAAAGGTGAGCCGGCCCTGTTAATGTATTCAAATGCAAACACTGTAAAGAAGTAATATTTAAAGTGAGTTGCTGGGTCGAAATGTTGTGTCTGCAAACAAAATATCAATTCCTCCAGCTTTATTAATCAAAGAAGAAACGGAACTGTCGAGGCTTTCAACCTGGGAGATGAATAAAATGAAATTCTGGAAATATGAGCAAAGATAAGCCATTAGATACCAAAGTCCAGACCTCTGGGGTAAACATGTTCCAGGGTAATCTGATCTGGCCTTTGTTCCTGCAGGGGAAATGAAGGAGGTGGTTACCTGGAAAACTTCATGCTGTTTATCTATTAGAGTCAGATTAATAACAGAGTAAAATGTGTCCCAAAGTCAAAGATGTTCCACTTTCATTAAGTTAAAAAAAAAAAAATTAAATGTGTTTAGAGCCGCAGATGTTGCAGAGCCTTTTCTGAAAAAACAACTAATTTAAAAAAAAAAAATAATATATATATATATATATATATATATAAATATATATATATATATATATATATATATATATATATATATATATATATATATATATATATATATATTACACACACACACACTAGGGAGTGTGTGTTTATTTTAAAAGAATATTTTATTTAGGTTCTTTTGTTTGTTTGTATTAATAAATCTTTACACCCCATTTGATGCCGATGTTTGTGGAAAACGTCTTAACAAAAAAGTTCTTAGTTTCCAAAGTGATGATGAGAAAAAAATAATAAATACTCTGGATACTTGTGTCATTTTGTTGTGGAAATTGAATGTAGGATTTATTTATTATTTAGTCAGATACTCGTTAAGGAAAAATGTTACATATATTTATTTTGTTGCACATGAAAACAATTTTTGTGAACTTATTTCCTAAAATTTGTTTAAAAAGATGCTAGTAAATGAATTGTGGATTTAAGAAATGGCTCAGATTTATAAGAATGAGAAATGCAACAAGATGATGAAAACCAAACATGATGGTATGCAAATACACTCAAACAACTAAAAGAGCAAAGGCATAAAACAGTAATGGTTCAACACTAATTATAAATAAGGTCAACTACCAAAACATGAGATAAGATGGAGTCAAACAGCATTAAAAACATGCATCATAACCTCTGATTTATGCGCGTGGCTTTATGTGTCTGGAGCATCAGCGCTTCTGCATGTTCAGAAACATAACAGACTCGGCTGCTTCCTCCTAAAAACATGTTTTGAAGACGGCTCGCCTGGCGTTCCTCCAGCAGCAGAATCCGGTGAACACGATGTCACATGTGAGCGCGATCTGAGCTCCGAGCTCAGTCACAACCCAAACACGCCCACACCACCAGTGCGCTGATCCGTGCCAGAAAGCAGTCCCCACACACACCTTCAAAACATTCCCGGCCTCTTTAATCCATGCAGGAAAGTTTCCTCCGCAGGAATTAGAAATATAAATAAAGACTTGTAATGATTTAAGATGCATTTATATTTAGTATGAAAATAAAACCAAATATGTTAAGTAATATGCTTTCATTTTGAAGTTTTCTGCTGTTCATTAGTGAAGATAATTTTTCTTTGAGTTGCATCATCTCTAACATTGTTAGTGTCTGAGAACTGAAGTCACCAATCGCTGCTCTACAGTCACTTCGTTCTGCTGTTACTGCTCAGGTAGAAGATGAGACGCTCTAAGTTTCAATGTTTCCTTCGTTCAGAACAGCAAATGTGTTTGACAGGTCAAACCTCCAGCTTTTACTGTGGAAGGATGTTGTTGTCATACATGTAGTTTGGGGTGAAAACTCTTAAAAAAAAACCCATAAATAATAAAAACTAAAATGAGATGGCTACTCATTCTAGCTTGACTTTTAACTGTATGATAGTAAACTAAATGCTTCCACTGATCTTTCATCTATAACATCAAGAACAAACTATAAAGCCACCATAACATTGTCCATTTCAAAGGATGTTCAATATGAAAAACTCTATATTTTTTGTCTGATTCTATTATTTTACCCCATTCTGTTCTTATGGCGTTTTCATAGGTGACTCATTCAGTAATAGTATTTTGATGATGATGATAATAATAATAAAAACTTTATTTTTGAAATGTTAAAAATACATGTTAGCAGAGAAAACCATCCATACCAACAATGAGTGGATATGAAAGCAACATTTTATTATTAAACATGTCATGAACATAAATGACTCTTCATAAATGTTTACAACTGTTGTCATGAAGTGTCACTTTGTAAATAATGACACTTCTAATAGAAAGGTGCACTGAAAGTTCATTAAAAGTGTCAACTTTTCATTAATCAGTAAATAATTAATGCAACTTAATGTAAAGGTCCAATAAAACTTGCATTAAAAGTCATTTAAAACTGTCATTATTTACTGAAGGACACTTCATGACAACATTTAAAAGTGTTCACGAAGACTCCGTCATGTTCATGACAGGTGTTATGTCATATTTATGACAGTCTCATGTTGATCTTATGCACACCCATTCAAATAAAGTGTTAACCATCCATTTACTTTTGCAATAGGGATTTGTCTATATATTTATAGTGAAAAAGTCCTCATCCTTACAGTTCCATAAATTCCCTCCACAGATCACATTCTCCTCAGTGTTGCATGTGCTTTTGTTTGCTAACAATTAGCTCTCACCTTAACTCGCTACCCCATTTTTTTCTTCCTATATCCCTGATTTATACCAAAAAGTCCTTTAAACTTTTGACTGTATTTGTTTCCAGAACCTTTGTCCTTAAAACACTTTGTACTTTCCACACAATCAACAGTGAATTTACAAGCAATCCAAAACTAAAGTGTTAAAATCGCAAAAATTAAAGATCTATTATCTATTTTCACTTTCTGTTAAATTACATTAGTAATGTCAACCTGTGAGTTCATTCCAACTCTTGTGACTAAAACAGGAGCCTGGTACGAGGAGAAAAATTAGACTTTCAGCTGCTTCCAACCACTGCATGTCTGGCTAACATAAAGCCTGTTAGAGTAACAATGAAGTGTAGAACCAAAGCAGAAATTACCAAATCTACACAAATGCTATTATTTCAGTTACATCTTTTGTCACAAATGGTGATTATTCCCCTCTGTAGTAAAAACCTTCACCTTATAAACATATATTTTACTTTAAAGATCAATATCACTTCTTTATTCTTGTGTGGCCATTCCTTTATGCATTGATGCCCAAATATGTTGTTCTGTTCTTAGCATCAAATAATTGTGTTCAACACCCTTTTTCACTTTTCAGAAACTGAATATGTCCACATTGTTTCCATAATCACACTTTTAGACATGAGTATGAATATAACTATTATGAACTACCAGCATGGATACAGTAGCAGAGAAAGTTATAAAAGATGATGGTGTATGGCTTCTAAAAGGAAATGTAAGTGGTGGAGCTTCGTATGGATTTCCAGGAAGCCTGTAAAGCCCTTCTGACCAAGCGCACAGTGTTTAGCACACACTCACCGAATATAAATAGTCTCGTATCGGCTGTCATTCCCATTTTCAGCTCAACAACAATGCCAGTTGGTTTCTAGCACAAAGTGGGAAGAAAAGCGAGGCACAGATAAAGTTCTTTTCAGCTAGATTTTAGTTTTGGTCTCCTCTTGTCCTCCTTAATTCATCTCCTCTGAATGTGTTCATTCTTAACTCTTTATTGATTCTTTTTGTCCTCTTTTCTAAATTTATTTCATTTCCTTTATCTCTGGTTTTCTTTTATTTCCTTTCACCTCAACTTTCACCTTCTCCAATCAGCCTGATTCACTTTCCCCATTTGGACCATCTTCCCTCCGTCTTCATCCTCTCCTCTCTTCTTTTCTCCTCAGCGCTCCGGGTTCTGGTCCAATGTTCCGGTCCACTACAGTGGCAATCGACCCAGTGAATCAGCCCCAACCAAATGTTGAACAGAACTGGGAAGCTTTCCATCCGAGCGGCGCCGAACGGGCAACAAGTAAGAGCTCTTATCCGCTTAAAAGGCATGTGGCGAGCTGCTTAAATAGTTTATGAGAGAGTGTTTGGTTTTCGGTGATGAGGATATCACTCTTGATACTGAGGGATTAACCGGCGTGCGGTCTGGTGAATTATGTCTGTTGACAGCAAGAAATGAAATAGGGAGAGAAATGAAGATAAGGAAGCAGGCCGATCCAACATAACAAGAAAATTGTGATCTGGGCAATTATACAGAAAATGAAATAATGCTGCAGGGATTTGGAAGGAGCAGCCCCCGTCAAAGAGCCTCAAACCAAAAAAGAGAGAAAAAGTTCAATTCAGCAGGAGAAAAACACAGACGAAAGAATTCGCTCAGGAAATTAGCAAAAATGTTTTTATTGTTGACCATTTGAAAAGCATTTCGACAGGGAGGGACATTTTAATATTGAGTCACTGCAGTGTTAAGTTAGTCCTAATCCGTTTAACTAAATTCAAACTTTAAAAACATTTTTCTAGTTGTTTTTTGTTTTGTTTTGGTTTTTTTTAATAAAGAATTTAGATTGTCAAAATTTTAAAAAAAATTCACTTATGTCATTTGTAATTGTAACCAGAACAGGGTTGAAACTTATGTTTTAATACAGGTCAGTCGTCCATGAGTTATACTGCAGAATGCAGGATTAGCATTTTAGAGCATTTTGGTCACTTCAAGGGTTTCCCAAACGTTTATGGTTTAACTTTCTTACGTCAAAGACTCCATATCAATATCCTTGTTTAATGGCTATCAAGTCAAAGAAGGAATTTATTTAAAGGCCATAATATCCCAGTCACATTATGATTATGATCATCAGTTGCCTTTGGGTAATGAAGCTTAAAGGTCCTATGTCATTTATGTACAAATATTATATCAAATTATTACTCTGAACTGTACCAGATATTATACAGTGACTTATGAAATTGTTAACCCTTCAACACTTTCTTTGGCATCTTGTCACCTTAAAACCACAAGAGGCCAACACAAAGTATTACATAATTGGAAAACAAAACAAAAAAAAGATGGTTTTGTAAAAGAATTTTCCCAACATGTATGTTCACTCCAGACCTGTCTGCCCCACTGTAATTGAACTCTAGTTCATTTACCTAGAAACTTCTGTTTCTTTGGGGAGATGTAAACTCTGATGCTAACCAAAAAATGTTAATCTATAAACATCGGTCTCAGTTCGGTTGAAATGAACTCTGGTGCGGTTTGAATGCATATGTAAACGCCAAGCGGACCGGAGGGCGCTCCAACAGCAGGACATGAACTGCATTGCAGTGCATTCTGGGTAAATACAACCAAAACAAACATGAGTCTAGCATTAGTGGGAGAAATGGCATGTGGTCTTTTGCCAAAAACACAGAGAAATCCTACAACAGCTATAATCTGACTCCACTCCATTTATGTATGCATTTTGTGAAGAAGGAAGTTGTGCTCAATCGAACCTGCGACCACTGGCATGGGGACTAAGGCCTCAGTACATGGGTTGTGCTTTGCCCCTGCGCCACCACAGCACACCTTCTTCTCAGGTTTTTGAGTTGTTTCCTTCAGTGGTTTTTGGTATAGCGCCACCACAGGCGAGGAGGTGAACAGGTTGCTCACAGTGTTCAGTTTGTTTGACACAGAGCAGTGTGAAAGCAAACCACAGCAGCTGAAAATGGAACAGATGTTGCAATTGCAAACATGATGCCTCTGTGAGATATTTCAAGTGAGGACTCTGATACACAGACTTACATGAATCAAAAGAGGAGAAGCCCATATAGACAAGCCCATTTTAATAGACCAGTGCACCCAGTCTGGGGGAAATCAAAGCAATTAAAATAGTTTCCAAAAACCTTGTGCCACTGTCACTAGGAGCTTTTATAGGGTACAGAAAACAGACAGGCTGCTTCTCATATTTGCCTTCAAACATATGATCCCCACTTTCTTCATCGCCACCTTGTCTCTCTATATATGGCACCTGGAGCTCAAGCTTCAGTACCTTTCCTTGTGGGTTCAAGCATAAAGGTTCTCATGTTAGAGATGTTACTGGAACAGTGGCAGGAGGAAGACAGCTGTTGAAAGAATGCAAGAGGCTTGGCAAAAATGTGGATGGGCATGGTCTGGTCAGATGAGACTGAAAGATTAAACCTCTGGGTCAGAGGATGATGGCACTGCATGTTTTTGAATGATTTATTGCATGAACAAATGTATTCACGTGTGATTTTAATTGCGTTTCTTATTTAATGGAAACACCCCAATTTGGAAATTGTTTTTTTATACATTAGTTTTATGCATATTTGCAATGGAAACGCAGCTACTGCAAACATCAAGCCCACAGTGACAAATTAATAATGTCAGTTGCTAGATGTGCAAAGCTGGTAGGAATATTACCCAAAAGAAACTATAAGTTTATTTTTTCTTTTGCAGGATTGATTCATAAAAATGAATCTCTTAAAGTTAGGTCCATAATTAAAATATATTCGCATGTAAGTGGGTTAGTCGGTGAGGAATTGTTGGACTGAATTACTTTCTGTCATCTTGTTTGAGTTTCTTCTGAAACAAAAGTTGAAATCAGATCCCTTTAGTCCATCTCCAGTGGATTTTGTGTGCCGAATGGCTGCATTTTAAAAGCTAAGAAAGCATAACACAGACTTCAGAGAAACAATCAACTGTCATCCTCTGTTCTGAAAAATATGTCACCCCCTCATTCAGTACAGGTTTCTCATTATAAAGTCAAAGCCATCGGAAAAGTTGGGCAGTTCCTTTCAAACTCGGCTGTCTGCCTGAGTGCTGAATGGATTTGCATTTTCACAATAGGGAGAGAGAAATGTCACTTTAAGGCTCGCCTTCTTTAAACACCCAAATATTTTATAAACCGTGCTCCACGGCATAAGAAGGCAGCACATTACAGATAACTTTTAAAGCTGTGGGTCATTTTAATACCTTTGCCCAGAATTATCTGTCTGAGTCATTTAACACACCTATTTGCAGACAGATGCATGTCTGGGAGTTTGCTGTGCACTAAAATGGTTATAGAAAGTTCGATTGGGGACCAAAATTGCGTTCACACTGCAATGTGTCAATCAATCTCAAACATTTGAAAAACATGTTCACCTCCTCACCTGTGGGGGCGCAATACTAAGAACCACTGAAGGAAACGACTCAAAAACCTCTGAAGAAGACACTGAATGCAACTTCTTCTTCACAAAATGGAAACAAAAATGGAGTCGTATCAGATTTTCATGTAGGATTTCTTATGAGACATTTCTACTGCTAGCTCTAGACTTGCCCGTTAGTTTTGGTTGTATTTACCCAGAATGCTTTTGGAGTGGTCTACAGTCCACTTGACATTCGCATATGTATTTCTACCACGCCAGGCTTCACTTCAACTGAACTGAAATCTAGGTTTGCAGGCAGCCCAGACTTAGCTTTTATTGGTCCACATCAGAGTTTGATTACTCATTCACACTTCCCCAAACAAACCAGACTTTTGAGTCAAATGATCAGGATGCCCTAACCCTAGAGAAACCTCCCAGATGGCAGCCATTAACAAGCTACTTCAGCAATTCCAGTGAATTAGTGAGATGAATTAGTTGACTGATGCCAGCTCACTCTTTCCATAGCTTTCTATAGCTTTCCATAGGAAATAGGTTGCCATCCATTCCATAAGCTTAATATTATGTTTTATCTAAGTTTCTAGATCTATGTTTGCTTCGTTTGGACCAATGATCTAATCCAGACTATCACCTTTAAATGAAGGAAAGTGGTCAGAGTGTTCAGGAATAACCCAAGAACAACTGACCAAAACTCGATCGCTGTTCATAGTGAAATTAGAAAATCAACATCAGTGTCAACTGAGACAGAAGCCCTGCTTTAAAGCCAAAAGTCAAATTAATCCTTAAAGACTCAAATTGAATATGACATAATTTAAAAGATGAGTGTTTGCAGACAGTGCATGTTTGTCTTCAGTTATTCAGCAATAAATCATCCAGCTGTGCTAAAAACAAAAAAACAGAAAATCTCGAAAGCATGATCGGAATATCGTATACAAAGTCTTAGAAAATAATACCCTGTGTGCCACAGAGTTTTTTCCTATTCTGTTTTTTATTACTGGGGTAGAAAAATAACCCATTTATGTTTTGCATGTAAATATGAGCAGTACCAATCCTCTATTTTCTTCTCCCTTTCAGAACCACAGACCCAGCTGATCCAACCATTCCTCCCCCTCGATCCCACACTAGAGTCCAGACTCCTGAGCAACACTGATTGGGCGTACGGCCAAACGGATGCAAACAACTCTGCAGCTGCTGCTGACGAACCCTGCATCCTCAAAAAGACCCATCTGGACTGCGGCCGCCTCAGAGCCAGCCACATGATAAACCCTGATGACACAAACTGTACCGTTTCAAAGCACTTCTACAAGCATCTGACGCCTCGTTGTTACACGAGTAACACCATGACTCCTATAGATGCCCCAACAGCTACCACTGGCACAAAATCCTGCGAGCACCCTGACTTGAACCCAAATGACAACAGAAACAAGATGATGAGTACGGCTCACGCTCTGTCGGCCCCCAGCAGGCTTCGCCCCGTGTCCTTCTCCCTGCCAAAGCGGACCTGTGTCCTCCTGCACCAATCAGCTGCGGTCTTCATCCAAGCCGGACAGGGTTCGGGGTTGCCAGGGAAACAAGTAGGTGTGGCAAATCAGGAAAGGACAAAAAACCTTGGGGAGAAAGTTGCTGATCAGGGGCCAAAGTCTCCGGTGTGTTCGGATGTGGATCCCTGGGATACTGGAAACCAGTGCAGTGCGGACAGGAAGATTGAATTCCGGCCTGCTGAGTCTGCTGACAAAGAACTCTTGGGACCGCCTGGGAATAAAGCCCAGGTTTCCTCATGCAATCGCAATGTGATTGGAGAAGAGAACTTGACAATTAGTGGGAGTGGAGCCCAGATCTCTTTATGTAAGGACAATGGGACAGAAGCCCAACGTGGGATTGAAGCTCATCTTTATTTAAACAGGGACACACCAGAACAGATTTCTGACAGCATCAGCACAGATTCAGCACAGAGAGAGAACGAGGCCCACCTTCAAGAGACAAAACATCAAGAAGATGAAGATCTGCTTTCCTCTGCCACAAATCATCCTGAGAAGTCTGATTCTTGTGTCATAAATGAGAGTCCAAAAGAATCAAGCCTCCCCTCATTAACCTGTTGCAATGCATCAATGCCTGTACCTCCAGATCGTCCCAAAGAGCCTTTCTGTCAGGTTCTGAGCCGTGACAGAGGCAGGGTTCTTCTCTGGCCCACAGAGATGGTAAACTACACCAAAACATCGCCCTCCATATCCTACAGCGTCAACCCTCTACTGTACGACTTCAGAGCCCATCACAAGGCCAAAAAAGGGGGTACAGAAAAGAAAGGAGGAATAGAGGAAGGGAGAGAGAGAATAAAGCCATCTGTGATCAAACAACCTGACTGCCAAGAGAGGCATGAAGATACAGAGGGAGGAAAGGAAGAGAAGATAGATGAAAGGAGAAAAGAGGCAGAGGGAGGACAGGCGGGAAATCCTGTGGAAGTTGTCGACCATTGTGATGGTAGCGATGCAATCCAGGGCCGCTCCAGTTGCCGTGATGAAACTGCTTTAAAATTTGTTCCCCTCTCTGCAGAATGCCACCATGAGCCAGGCCTTCAAAAAGCAGCAAGGAGAAGGAGAAGGAGGACAGGGATGGGGAGGGGGACAAAGAGGAGGGGGAGAAAGAAAAGAAGAGGAAAGGCGGATAAAAAAGACTCGGAAAAGGGAAGGATAATGAGTCCCTTCTTTGCAAGTCAGATGTTTGAAGGGAGAGGGGAAGAGAAGCTGAAAAGAGAGGGCAACATAAAAGACGAGAGGAGAGATAAAGAGCTATTAAGTAATCTCACTGCAAATCAGCTGGTAGGAGAGAGAGAAAAGAAGACGAGGGAAGAGGAGCAAAGGATGAGAAGGGATCAGATGATTCGAGAGAGGGCAGGTAGAAATGACGAGAAGAGGGGAGAGCTATTAAGTAATCTTCCCATGAATCGGTGTAATCGGTGTAACCAGCTGTGTGTGCAGGTGAAGCGGGAGGCCAGCCAGCATCAATCCCACCAATCAGTCTCCGGATGGGGCCCAGGGCTCAGAAAGCTCCTCTGCAGGGATGCAGCATGCTGCTCTGTGATTAGCCACGTCCCCAAGTCTGTTATGGAGACACCACGCTGTCCCGCAATTACACCCGGCCCTGCTGAGGATGACAAAGGGACGGGAGTGATCCACAAAGACACGCAGGCGGGGAAGAAGGAGGGCGGGCAGGAGCAAAGGAATCCAAGGAGCGGCAAGATAAGAGGCGCCGAGGAAAACACGTGTAAGCTAGCGATTAGTGGTGTTACTTTCCCCCGTCGAGACGCTGCATGCGAGGAGGAAATGTGTCTCGTTCCTAGACCTCACGGAGAAACGGCAGGAAATCCAACGATTAGCCCTATCCCCGCTTCCTCCAGAGACGCAGCATGTGGTCAAACACAAACAATACCTGCAGGACAAAGCTGCACCACGACAATTGAGACCCTGTGCTGTTTGGAAGGAGAGCCGAGAATCGGATCGGCCTGCAGGGAAGTAGCTCCCCCTCCCGCTCATTTGCTTGCAGGATTGTCCAGAAAGAGGAAGGGAGGATCACCGGAGCCAGCGGCACCTAAGAAGAAACGAAGACGAGGTAGGAGGCAATTGAGGAGATTCATGAATGTTCTACTCAAGAGGCAAGAAAGAAATCAGGTTAGCTTGACCTCTGACCTCAGTGACAAAGGGGACTGTTGTTGTCAACACATTCCTACAGACTGCAACCCAATCTGTAGGACCCAACAACCCCTGAACCACAACGCCAACACTGACAAGGAACCACTTAGCTGTGGTTCTGACGATCAAGACAAGCCCTGCTGTTGTGATGAGAGTCACGGAACTGCTAATGACCGCAGTCAGTTTGACTGTGATCGCTCTGAAGACTTGACACAACTCAGCGACTGTCACACCTGTAACACCTCAATGCCGCACCGACAGGGAGCTGAGCAGTCCATCAGGGATGATGGACTTAATTCTGCCTTCTGCTGTGATCACGATGCAACTTTTATCAGAGGATGTCATGTACGTTCGGTTGACCGGAATCCTGATTGTACTTTGAACAAAACAGAACCATTAGGGTGTGTACAGTTAACAGGTACCCTCAGATGTAGCACCAACGACCTTTGTCAGTGTGAAGACAAGCACACTAAAACAGAGTATCAAAGCATAACTGATGACGCTTTTCGTCGCAGTCGTGATTCTGTCGATAAAATTGTCAGGAGCGGTCAGAGCAAGGAGGGTGAAACCGAAGCACAGGGTCATGACAGCGCCCCCCTCTCTGGTCCAGACGGTGGTTATAGGAGCAGCCGGGCTGTTCATCAGACTGAAACTGACAGCAGTCAGTGCCATGGTTTCAACAGTAATCCTGATTGTAATCCCAGCAGTAATACTGCTAATAACACCAGCACCAGAAACGAAGCAGAACATGTACACACCGGGGAGAGGCAGAGGAAGGAGGAGGAGGAAGAGAAGCGGCTGGAGAGAAAGAGGGAGGAGTGGGAGAAGGAGTGGGTGAGGAGGAAGGAGAAGGAGGAACGGGAGAGGAGGAAAGGGATAGAGTTGGAGCATCTGTTTTCAGAGAAGAGGCAGTGCTTTCCTCCTCACCTCCCCCCACGCTGCATCCCCCTCCATGCTCCGCTCCTCCTCCAGCCGTTCCTCTCATCTTCCTCTTCCTTCTCCTTCCACCACACCTTCATCCAGCACAACCTCTCTCTTCTGCCACCTCCATCACACCTCCCGCTCTCCTCATACCCACACCTTCTACCCCCCTTCCCCCCTCACCTCTCTTCTCTTGCCCCTGCTCCTCCACCGCCACCCCCTCCACCTCTTCCTCCTTCATTCTATGCTTCCTCCCCCATCCCGCTGCTGGACGCTCCCAGTCCGTACCCCTTAGCAGCTTTTCACCACCCATCCCTGTACCCTCCTCCTCCTCATCCAGCAGTTCTGCCCTTACAGGTATTACTGTAGGCTGCCATTCCCCAAGACAAGTCCCGCATCATTGCCTAAATATCACATCCAAGGTGGAATATGAGTCATTTTAAGGAGAGCATAATCAGAAAACAAAGTCTATCTGTCTTCATGCAGAGCCTCTTGGAGTCCTTACACTTCCAATACTGATTCATATCTCTGGAACAAAAAAAAACCCATATATATATATATATATATATATATATATATATATATATATATATATATATATATATATAAGATGACTAATTATCCTCATCAGCCGCTATCGCGCTCTAAATGAGCGTCAGGTGTGCAGCCTGTGGGATCGTGGTGGGAATACGCATCTGGGCTCGTTTCCCTCAGCAAACACGCGCCGTTTGGTTTACATTTCTCCCCGAGGATTCAGATCATTTTTGTCGATGCCACACAGCCGTGTCAGAAGAAAGGCAGATTTTCAAATACAATTGTAAAAGTATTTATATCTCTTGAACTGTGCCACCTTTCTCACTTTTGTGTCATATTATAAACATGAACTCTTTTATTGGGATTAGTGAAACATAAAATAAGTGAAAAGCAGACAGAAATCAAAATTCTTTACAAAGACAGATCTGATATTTGCATTTCTATTCAGCTTCCTCCTGAGTTAATACTTTCCTCTCCCTGCTGAAGAAAAGCATCGCCCACACAGCGATGTTAGTGTTTAAGAGGACATGGTTTTCTGCTCACATGACAATTTAGGAATTCTTATGAGTTTTTAATCAACAGTGACTTTCTTCCATAAGGGCCAGATTTTTGAAACATAATTTTTTATGAATGATGGATTGAGCACTAATGTTTTCTGAAAAACATACCAGATATCAGGTGACTTTGATGGGAATCGGTAGCATTAGCTTTTATCAGAGTAAATGTTGGCCATGCATTTCAGATTTTTAATTTTAAGGATGACATTCCTTCCAATTAACAGTAGCTGCATTTCCATTCACCATATATTTGTACAATTTGATATTTCGAAAATAAATTTGCCTAGTGGAAATCTCAATTTCAAAAATATTCTTGTTTGTCGATAAAATGTTTGAAAAAGTATTGAAATTGGTTTATGTCGCAAACCTGCAATGGAAAAACTTTTTTTTGCATCACATGAGTCATGTGATCAACAACTGGTTGTTGTCACTGGCTCCAACCATGAAGAAGAAGAGCACAGGAAGTAGTAGGATGATGATGCAGCATGTTTTTATTGACTTGCTCGTGAACAAACTTATTCACGTGTGACTTTAATTATGTTTCTTATTAAATGGAAACACCGCAATTGTGAAATTGTGTTTTTTTTTACATTAGCAAAATATTGAAAAAGTTTTGCATGATGCTAGCCGTGTGACTAGCAGCAGCTAGCACGACATGTAAATACAAAATGGAGTTATGTTTGGTTGTAAAGTGACCACACATAAGAGTATTTTTTATATATATTTATAACGAGTAAAATATTTTTAATTCTCCAGTCTTTTGTTTATTGACTTTAACACATTTCTGTTGAGTAGATACATGATATATCAACATTAACATCAGCATTGGCCACTTATATCGGTATCAGTTTGATAAATAAAACTGGGCCGATACCAACAACCAATGTTTATTTCCATCTTGTTTCTGGAGGGGGAAGAGGTTGGTCATGTGTCAGTGATATTCATTTGATGCCAGTCGTTTTTTCAAGATGCCCAAAAGATGATAAAATGTATATATAATACAGATAAATATCGGTTAGAACAGCAGTACAAATATTCATATTGGCCCAAATTTTCATATTGGTTAGTCCCTAATTTTAATTCAGATTCTTAAGACTGAAAACTACAAATCTGGAGAAAAAAAAAGACTTGAGCTTTGCATGAAAATTATTTGGCTTGATAATAATATTACCAGCACTTCCGTAACATACCGCTATCTTTCACTGACACATCTATGCTCAGATTGCATCAGGGGTGGTTTTTGTGCCAAAGTCAGATGAAGAAGAAAATGCATTTGATATTAGAGATGATATCTCTGCTTCTGCTGTAAGAGTTTTTTTTTAAATTGACCACTCCGCCAGGCTGTGCTGAATATGTTAAATCAGTGAAGAGCTGTACAGTTAGAATAGTAATAGGCAGATGAAATGTGAATCCTAGCCACTAAGAAGTGAAGCAGGAAATGGAAGGGCAATTATTCCGAGTTCTTTATGAGAACTTACAGAAAGCATGACAGGCAAAAGGTTTTCTGCTCCTATAGGGGACAAAGGAACCAATACAAATATGAGCAACACACTCTTGGGCTTCGTTTACAAAGAAATACAGTGGCTAGAAGCAGTATTTCTACACTATAACTTGTTCTCACATTAAATTTCAAAGTATTTTTTCTGAAATATCATGTAATAGGCCAACACAAAGTGGATAATTGTGACATTTTTACAAATAATGTGAGTATTCTCTTTGGAAGTCACTCATTGTAGCGTCCAATTGTTTGTAATGTAATCTCTCTATAAACCACAGCTGCTCTGTTAAGTTATTACAATGTGATAAAATGTGAAAAGGTTCAAGGGTTATGAATATCAAAAACATTCCCTAGATTTGACCAGAACTAAGTGGTGACCTGCCTGCAGTTTGAGATGCAGATAGATTCGAGCTAGTGGTGAATTTTGCAGGAGTTTTAAGTGGGATGTCAGAGACTAAAGACGGGAACCAGTGAAAAGATGAGAAGGAAAGGAGACAGTGTTCAGAAACAGAGCACATAATTAGAGGTCTTTATTATGACATTCATTCTTTATTGTAACATTATTATATGTTTACAGCAGATCTCAACACACTAAAAAGGATTGAAGTTACAATTAGAGCAAGTCATTAAATTTCTATAGATTTTGCATATACAATAAAGCTGAGCCCACTGAGGCCTTTTATTAGACAGCGAAGATGGGGATTAAATTGCAGAACAATTCAAATTTCAACCACAAAAATTGAAGCTCCAAAGTTTGTATAACACATCTGTGACACTCTCAAAACTTTTTATGACAACTGTTGGTGGCAACACAACCCCTTTCACCTTGATTTTACTGAACCTTTTCCAAGTTGACCTATTGCTTCAAACATCAAAAAAGCTGACAAACAGATTTAGCTGGCGGCTGGAAACAGCGTGAACTCTGTCTCTGTTGTTGTTGGAAAGCCTCTGATGTTACAGGCTTCTTTTTCTGCCATGTATTTGCTGCTGTTACTTCCGTGTCAAAGCCTCGGGCAGAAACTGTGGAGCATGCACTGACCACCCACCCACCCAACTCTGAGTCCAATTGAACATATCCAAGAGTAATTCATCTTTCAGCCACATTATCCAGGTCTGTTAGAGGCACAAGCATAAAAGACTTTCTCTGCAGGGCAACACACACTATCATTCTTCGCTAATATTGAATAAAATCAGACAGAGAGGGGCTACTTTGGCATTTCATTTTAGAAATATGCTGCTTTCTCTTTGAATATCAAGTGCAAGGTGTTATTATAAATTGAAATAGCAATGTAACTGGAATTAGCAGTAATGATCTAGTCCAGCGCTGCTGAATAAAAATGCAACCTCTGTAATGTAAACCTCATCCCAAATGCAAGAGTTGGGAGGTTTAAGCAGATTTAGAGAAAGTTTTTATGGATACAGTCTATGTACATCAACTAAAACAGTTCTTACTGATGGGCAGTTGGTTAGTTGATTCATCATACATTGGGATCAGACTCAGATTGTCTTCATCCTCATTCTCTCCAAATTAGCTGCGATGCAAATAAAAACAGTATAAAATTCACACCAGCTCACAACTTTTAAAATACCAAAAATGTGACATTACTCATAGGCCTATTTCTTTCAGTCACTGAATGAGGAGCCACAGGGAGCAGACATGATGTGTGTGAAAACACATCATGTCTACAGTGAAGTATGGTAGAGGATGTATGATGTTATGGGCCTGGCTCTCTACCAAATGCTCTGGGAACTTTTAAAATGTCACAAAAAAATAATAAAAAGGGGTTTTTAATAGGGGTTTTATTTTACTAGTTTGGAGTGAATCATCCTGGCTACGCAAACCGTAATTTGGTCAGATGATGACGTTACGCATGACTGTAATAAACAGGAAGTAGCATGGACCACACAGCTCAGGAACATGGAGAGAATCCCCAACGAGCTGGAGGTTTGTAAAGTTTTATGGCTCTGGTAAGGTAGAGGCATATCAGTGGATGGGAATGTTGACTTATTCTGCAAATGTGTTTCCATCTCCCGTTAGAGCATTAAGTCTTTTTTAATTTTAATTTTTTTCTACATCTTTTATTATAAGTGCTACAGGGATGCCAATAAATCTGACTGGTGCTTTTATTTCTCATTAAAATTACAAACTGCTTTACAGTGAAATACAATGGGGGGAGGGAAAAACTATAATAAAAAAAATCAGAAACAAAAATTGCTGAAGGCTTTTCCCTTGAGTTGCTGTTTAAACAAACCAACACAGTCAATACGAGATAAAAACCTGAGAAGCTCCTTCCACAGATGAGATGCAACAGCTTGAAAGAAACGATCCCCGCAGGATTTAAATCAGTTGTGAGAAGCTATTAATGATCTCTGGTTGGAGGACCTCAAGGTCAGAGCTTAATTGTAAGGCGTCAATGGGTCCGAAATAATCTGAGGCATTGACCAGGCAAAGTTATAAATGTTAAATGAATTCTAAAAGCAGCCGGTAACGAGTGAAGAGACAATAAATCGGGAGTCAAGTTTGTTATTCTGGTGGCTTCGGTTTGCTTTTCTCACTAGATGGTGAGGACGGCTGAATGTGGGGACAACGTCGCGCTCGCTAGCTGAATCTATGTTAACCTGCAGGATGATCGATGGGCTCGAGTTCTCTGAATCAATATATCTGTCAAAATATTCATGGTAAACGTAAAAAGATCAAAACTGCATACATATGTAAAAATGTTACGTGGAGCCACTCAGTTTTCAGCTGAGGTGAGCCAGAGGTCATGCACACCATGGAACTGTTTCCTATATGACTTTAGAAGAAAAAAATGTATTTATAAAGAACTTTTTCAGCAACAAGGCAGCTCAAAGTGCAGTAAATCTGTAAAATGTAAAGTCTGGAATAGACGGCCTGCATGTTTACATATTTGTGGCTGAACTCTGGATGGTGCAACATTTACAGTTTCACTAAAGAATAAACTGTGTTATAG